CAAAAACTCTCGAGCTCATTCACCAATGTGGCTGCACGTGAGCCTCAGGCAAACACAAGCGAACATCTGAGCTCACAAAGCAGTGCAGAGACTCAATCAAGGAAGACCTTAAAGAGAGAAGAGCAGCAGTGCTGGACAATGGGGCAAAAGCTGGGAAAAGCATTCGCAAGGCCCACCTGTCCTTCGCCAACTACAAGACCAAGATGACTGCCCTCTGATGTCCTAAGGGATCTACTACATCTTCCAGAAGGGCAATGGAGAAGATTATCCATGACTTCTACTCGGATCTCTTTGAGAGCCATGTCCACCTGCCCACATACCTAATTCTGCAGGATGGATATGTCATTCCCAATATTCTCCCTTCTGAAGTCCAACACGCTATTTCATAGGTAAAGAAGCTAACAGCATCCAGCCCAGCTAAGGTCAGACCTGAACACCTGAAGAACCTGCCATCAGTACTAATCAATACACTGGCTCGGCTCTTCACACTACCTGTCTGAATGCAAGGTTCATCCCAATGGAAAACCAGAAGGACCGTTCTCCTGTACAAGAAGGGAGTCATCCACGGCATTGCCGACTATCGTCCAATCTGCCTATTATCCATCTACATGCTGTTCACTGGAGTCATCCTGAATAGGATTGGCAGAACACTAGATAAAGGACAACCATGTGAGCAAGCCAGGTTCTTCAAAGGATTCAGCACAATCGACCATATCCACACAGTAACCAAGCTCAATGAGGTTTCTCAGGAGTTCAAGATGCCACTCTGTCTAACATTCATTGACTTAAAGAAGGCCTTTGATTCTGTTGAGACTGACGCTATCATCGAAGTCCTAGCCAAACAGGGCATTCAAACTCAATACATCAGGATCCTTGTGAGCTGTATTACAGATTCACTACCAGGAGCTCACCATTTATCAAATGTGGTGTAGCTCTAAAATCTAAACCAACCAGAAAATTTTACTTTATCAGTATCCATTTTTGTTATAAGCATCCTCCTTTTAAAAATTCTTTATTTCCTATTAAATCTATGCTAAGGCTCATTTTTGCTACCAATACTATTTACTTTACTCCAAGTCTGATCACATCTTTCTTCATCATTTGATCTAAAATCAGTGTTACTATATATAACAGTCATGCTCTACGTGGCCTTAAAAGAGCAGCAGCATTTCTTGGTAAATTGCATGAAATACAATAACTGCACCTTTTATCTATTAGGAGGACACCCTCCTGCTTTTTCTCCTCCCCACATTTATTAGGTCAGAAACTCTTACTATGGAGTAACACTATATAGCATGCCAGCAATAGCTCTGCAGGTGATTAAGATATACCTAGAATTGGAAAACAACTAATATAGGACATTGATTCAGCTGCTTTTTTACAAGCACCTTTTAATACATTTGGATGGTGTATTATACTCAGACATGAATACATTACTTTTCTTTCCAAAATCATTCCATATGTACAGTTTTTAGAAATGTTACCAAGTTCACTAACTTTATTCAGCATCTATCTTCCACATTCAATCATCAATTTAAATCTAAAAGTTCTTTGTATGGAGCGATAGCACAGCGGGTAGGGCGTTCGCCTTACAAGCGGCCAACATGGCCGACCCGAGTTCGATTCCTCCGCCCCTCTCGGAGAGCCTGGCAAGCTACCGAGAGAGAGTATTCGATATGCCAGACACAGTAACAACAAAGTCTCCAATGGAGACGTTACTGGGCCCGCTCGAGCAAATCGACGATCAACGGGAGGGCCTTTACCTTACCTTTACCAACTTTTGAATAACATACAACTTTAAAGTGTCTTCTACTTAATAGTGTTTATAAAGGTCTTTCTCTCATGATTATGTGGAGTAGAGGAGACTGAGAGATACTAACTTGCTTCAGATTATGGATATAAGAAGACAGTGTGGCAAAATTTGAACTCAGATCTAGATGAGTACAAAATTCAGATTTGTTCCTACTTTGGTGCTGAATTGTGAATCAGAACTTGCATTAATATGATTATTTCACTTTTGTTAAGGCAGCACTTTGCAATGCATGCTCTAAGAATTTTTAATAACATGTGAAAATCCATTATCAAGTCACACTGCACTGTCCTCCCGTTATTCATCCATTTGCTCGAGTGGGCACCAATAATGTCTCCATTGTGAGACTTGTTGTTACTGTTTTTGGCATATTGAATATGCCATAGTAGCTTGCTAGGCTCTGCCATGTGGGCAGAATACTTTCGGTACCTTGCCGGGCTTCCCGAGAAGGACGGAGGAATCAAACCTGTTTCGACCGCATGCAAGGCAAATGCCTACCCACTGTGTTATTGCTCCAGCCTAAGTGACAAAAAATAAATTAAAAACATTTAAAAACAAAGTGACATATATTGTGTGCATATATTGTATACAGGAGGCTCAGGGTTCTGTTTTCAGTGCTGCATGGTCGCAAGCACCAATACTAGAGAAGTGTACAAGACATGCATCCCCACTTCCTCCCATGAATGCGGCTGTAGAACCCTCCCCCATGCAGGATAGTTGCATTTTTAATAAAATGTAACCATCAGGAATCAAGGATTCATAAATTATCAATTTATACAAAAGTATCAAATTACCAATTTAATATTATCAACTGCTGGTGGGAACACCAACTACTTGAACCCTTCTGGAAAACAGTATGGACGATTCTCAAAAAACTAGAAATTGAGCTCCCATTTGACCCAGCAATTCCACTCCTGGGAATATACCTCAGAAAGGCAAAAAAGTATAGTCGAAGCAACATCTGCAGTTGTCTGTTCATTGCAGCACTGATTACAGTAGCTAGAATCTGGAAAAAACCTGAGTGCCCAAGAACAGATGACTAGTTAAAGAAGCTTTGGTACATCTACACAATGGAATACTATGTAGCTGTCAGAAAAGATGAAGTTATGAAATTTACATACAAGTGGTACTACATGGAAAGTATCATGCTAAGTGAAATGAGTCAGAAAGAGAGGGATAGACATAGAAAGATTGCATTCATCTGGGTAACAAAAAGTAACAAAATAGGAGACTAACACCCAAGAATAGCCTAGATAAGTACCAGGCGGATTACTCCATGGCTTTGAGGACAACCGCACACGCTAGGGGAAAAGGCAGCTCAGACAGCGAAGGGAGCACCAAATAAAGGGTGTTGGGAGGTTCCTCTCAGGATGGGAAATGCGTGATGAGAGTAGACTATAGTCCGAACAAGATTGCCACTCAATATCTCTTTCACAAACCACAGCACTCAAAAGGAGAGAGAAAACAAAAGGGAATGCCCTGCCACAGTGGTAGTGTGGGATGGGGGATGGGGGAAAAGGGGGTGGGAGAGATACTGGAACTGGTGGTGGTGGAGAATGGGCACTGGTGTAAGGATGGGTATTCGATCATTGTATAACTGAAACCCGAGCACAAAAATTTGTAAGTCTACATTTGTACCTCAGGGTGTTTCACTAATAAAAATTGAAGAAAAAAAAGTATTATAAAATAGTCAATTTATTAATTATCATTAAAATATTTTGAAAACAATAAGTTAAAAACCCAATAGGTAACCTATTTTTATACCAGTATAAGAATTTTATACTAATATGTATTTGTACTACTGTGTATTACATGTAATTGTAAAATAATTTAGACTCTTGATAACATATAAGAAATATATCAAGGCTTAAGAGATAAAACCTTAATGACTAAATAATTAGAGGGGCTGGAGTGATAGTACAGCAGGTAGGGCAGTAGACTTGCATGCAGCTGACCGGGTTTGATCTGGGAATCCCACATGGTCCCCTGAGCACCACCCAGAGTAGTTCCATTATCAAGTAAATTTAATAAATAGCAAGTTAAATACTTTAGTGTAGGACTTCCAAAAGTTTTTAACATGCTGTACATTTTCTATATGAAATGAATACTGGTGGAGGGATGGGTGTTAGAACACCGTGTGACTGTTACCTAATCATGAACAGCTTTGTAAGGGTCTATCTCAGTGATACATTAAAAAAAATAAATAAAAATATTTTTCCATATGGGATGTTGTCTAAAATTATTTAACTAAAGAACTATTAGTTTGTGAATTTATATTAATAAAGATGTATATTAACACCACACAGAAGTAGTTTTCTAATAGCACTGTCACTGTCACTGTCCTCCTGTTGTTCATCGATTTGCTTAAAAAATTTAGACATAAACTATTTTTTTCTCCAAGAAATGTGAAATTGCTTATATCCCTTTTTATCTTGTATATCTCATTTTACTTTCTATTTTATTTACCACTAAAATACTCAAGTATCGTTGCTCCATCCCACAATGTATTGCTTGCTCTTAGCTTCAAAAATGTACATCAAATGTGTGTAATAGATTATTTTTCTTAGTTCTGCATATTATCTCCCTATTTTTTATTGTGAAGCTGTTCAGAGCACACTTTTACCATGTATTGCTATATGCCACACAGTATAAATATAATGTATATGCATATATATATTCACTGATGTATGTAAATTTCATGAATTAGTGGAAATAATGTAAAATTCAAATGTAGCATTATAATTCTTTATAATCCAATCCTGAATAAGCTCTGTCTGCAGAGGATTATCACATGGGCTGTGATAATGCCTAATGCCTTTAGCCTAGGCTAAAGTATATCTTACCTAAGCCTAATAAAACAAGTTTTGTGACTGATTCAGGCGAATTCTTCCTGCATTCTACATGTATATCCCTGACACTATATAAAGGGTTATTTTGTCTTTTATTTTATTTAAAAATCACCAAAAGTTTACACTCAAAATGACTGAACTGTGGAATGAAAATGTATACATTACTAACTAAACAGTCTACTTATATGTAATTGCAGGTTTTGGTATACTGTAAATATCATTTTGATATTAATTTTATTTAATCTTCACTAGAATTTGGGCAGACCACTACTAGGTCATTGTGTGTAATAGATTATTTTTCTTAGTTCTGCATATCATCTCCCTTTTTTTTTATTGTGCAGGTTCTGCTGATCTCCTTTGTGTCCCATGTTCTTCTTGTCCTACAGTGGTCTACTCTGGTATGTTTGCTCGGGGCTCTTAATATCAACATCTGAAACTATGGGTACTATCTGATGCTGTTCAGAGTAAGAATTTTTTTTATTTAATGGTATCTAATGAGAAAAATATTTCTCTTTGTTCTTTGTGGGTTTCTTTTTCATTTTTTAACTTTAAATCTTAGGCTCTTTGCTAAATCCATTTTATTCTATGTTGAAGCGCTGAGATGGGGATTGTAAATTCTTTCATCTTGGCAGGAAAATTGCCTTTAGATAGATGTGAGGTCGAAACATATGCCCTCACTGTGCAGATCAGACTTTCTGCCATCACTAAATAGCCCTTAAGTTTAAGCAACACAGAACAATTTGATTTCTGTGGACATGAGGCTACTCTATGTTCATTTTTATATAAAAGTGAACAATTCACAGGGGACCCAAGCAATAATACAGTGGGTAGGGAGTTTGCTTTGCACGGGACCAACTCAACTTCAATTTCAGCGTCTCATATGCCCTTCCCTTCCCAAGCATCACCAGGAGTAATTCCTGAGTGCAGAGCCAGGAGTAACTCCTGAGCATTTCTGGACGTGACCCAAAACACAAAAACAAATTTATTTTAATTTAAATAAATAAGTAAATGAATAATTCACAGACTCTGCTGCTAAGTATGTGTCAGAAAGAATCGAAGAGTAGACTTTGTCCTTAGCACTCAAAATCATGGAATATCAAAATTAAAAAGAACTTTAAAGCAATCTCTTTGTCTTCAAATCTAATACTATCCTCTTCTATGCATTACCCCTACCTTCAATTGAATGATCTTCAATTTTCACGTGATAGTTGGAGTAATAGGAAGTATACTACTTCATTTCATGTTCACTTAATTTTGCTTGGTTTTAGTTTCTCATTGACAGAATAATTCAATAATAGGAAATCATCTAATGAAGTAATTTATGAGATCAAGGATATGGCTCAGCGATAGTCTGCATGCTTTGCGTGCATGAAGCCCTGAGCTCCATTCCTGTCATTCTAAAAACAAAAAGATATTTTCTACAACATGCCACTATATATTACAAGAAAATTATATTGATTAAAATTTTATGCTGTCAGAACTGGAGCAATAGCACAGTGGTAGGGCATTTGCCTTGCACGCAGCCAACATGACTGACCCGAGTTGGATTCCTCCGCCCCTCTCGGAGAGCCGGCAAGCTACCTAGAGTATCTCGCCCGCACAGCAGAGCCTGGCAAGCTCCCCGTGACGTATTCTATATGCCAGGCACAGTAACAACAAAGTCTTCAATGGAGACGTTACTGGGCCCGCTCAAGCAAATTGATGATCAACAGGAGGGCCTTTTCTTTACTTTACTTTACTAAAAATTTATAATAAAATAGTGGAAAATGCTTTATCATAAAACATGTTATATATGAAAACAACCTAATGACCAACAGAAATGAATTGCTTTACTTTACTTATAACAATATATATAATAGAATACTGAATTGCTCTATTAAAATACACTACAAGATAGGACAAGTTCTCTTCCGAATAAGTCTATACATGGGTTTACAAGAATAGACGAGATACAAGATAAGTACCAGAAGGATTACTCCATGGCTTTGAGGACAGTCGTACATGCTAGAGGAAAAGGCAGCTCAGATAGAGAAGGGAAGACCAAATAAAGGGTGTTGGGAGGTTCTTCTCAGGATGGGAAATGCGTGATGAGAGTAGACTATAGTCCGAACAAGATTGCCACTCAATGTCTCTTTTGCAAACCACAGCACTCAAAAGGAGAGAGAAAACAAAAGGGAATGCCCTGCCACAGTGATAGGGTGGGATGGGGAGAATGGGGGTGGGAGGGATACTGGGACTGGTGGTGAGAATGGGCACTGGTGGAGGGATGGGTATTCGATCATTGTATAACTGAAACCCAAGCACAAAAATTTGTAAGTCTACAACTGTACCTCATGGTGTTTCACTAATAAAAATTTAAGGGAAAAAAAAAGAAGAAAAAAAATTAAATCAACAGTTGACAAATAAAAATGTCCTGGAAATTTCAGAAAAAAATATGTGACAAAATTGTTAAATAATATTATGTAGATTTGTTTCTTGGGCATGATGCATTGTTTATATAGATTTTATCTTCTTCCATCATATGTGCTGGGAGAATTATTTTGTAAAAGGTGAAGCATCTGAGAGATTCTGTGTGACGGAAAAAGACTGTAGCAGAGCTGACTCCTTTTCCTCTGTCTCCTGAAAAGTCTCTAAAGGAGTAAATATTTGGGGGAAAAATAAAATATATATATATATACATGGGTTTATACTGATATTGACTGACATATGTATATATTTTAAGTGGAAACATTTTTATTAACATAAAAAGTGAGTCACAAGACAGTATTATAATTCACTTTAGTTACATATATGTCTCTATATATTCCATTTTAGTTGTGTGCAGAATTACTTATTTAATTAACAAGGCTATTATAAACAAAATTACTATGAATTTTTATTTGATATATATAGATGTTTCTCTGCATATATATTACTATAATAAGCTTGTATTATTTAAGTTGTTAAAAACAATTACATTACTTTCAAAGAAATTACCCTCTTATTTTGCTCCATGTATGAATTTTATTTCTCATTTCATCCTTTTGTATTGAAGACAAAACTATATCTCTTTTCTACATAATAGTTCTATGACTACAGAAAATGACAAAGATTTTTTTTCGGTCTTTAAAATTTGGGGGCGGGGGATATAACATACAAGCAAACTGCCCTGAAATATGAGATTCGAATGAGTTAATAATGCTTGGTCTATATATAATAAAAGTACATAGTGAATCAGGTATCATTACAGAGAAAAGCACTGACATAGGGGGCATGAGTTTACCAAAAAGGTAGTGACACACTGATATTTACATAAAATGCAGATGCTGTTTAAGTATTGAATTGATATAAGTACAAGAATTTCTCCTTGTCTAGTAGACAAAGGGTAAGAGAATATGATTTTTAAGGCTAAAGCCTGAAATATTTTAATATTTAATCAGATAAAGGAGCTAGCTGAAATGATTGGTATAAGTAGAGAGTGCATTTCAAATAAAGGAAACATATGTGCAAAAACAATTGGACTCTCTTCTTACCTGCCTTCAACGAGCAAATTATTGAGAAAACAGTATCCCAAAGTGCCTTTTCAGGTTCTGGGAACAATTTGGAAATTGATGTTTTATTAAGTATTTATGCTGTAATGGTAAAATCAGAAATATTAGATATATGAGGTACAAAGCAGGAAAATAAAATGAAGTTTCTAGAAACCTCAATTTGAATCCTTGACATCCTAATCATATTATTCTTGAAAGTAAAAAAGAATCATTTCCAATTAAGCACTACGTACAAGTAGTTTCAATATTGAAATAAAACCTGTACAGCCTCTTCTACCTCATGTTACCCTAGTTTTCTAAATTCAATCCATCAAGATGTTAATTGCAGTATATACCTTGCAACTATTTCTCAGTGACTAGATTTGGGGAGAAGATAACCTGCTTTAATTGTTTCATATACATCTAATTCTAGTTACATATACACACGTGTACATATATATTGCACAAAAACACTACAGATATCAGATGTTGACATATGGTAGCAAAACACAGTTAATTGAAGTAGCAGTCTAATGTCACTGCTGTTGTAAAAATGCTTATAGTGTATAGTCAAACCCTAAAATCTTGGTCTTTTCTTTACTATGCCATACTATAAACATACCATTAAGCACGTCTTTTGTTTGTTTTTACTCTATAGGTCTGTGAAGCAGGCAGAAGAAACTGCAAGTGATCCTTAAAGAAACTTCAGTTATTCAAGTCATTGTACAGAACTCCAATTTTATTATGCATATATAAATATTTAGAGAATGGTATTTTTATATTATTGATAATAAATGAACACTACCTAACCAGAAGATATATAAGTATATAATCAATAAACTGTAAACCTGAAAAAAAGTTCTGAGGACACCTGACTCCTTTTGACATTGTGGCGTCCTGAGATGATTACTTTGTACCTCGCTATTAAGATTACTGTTTGATACATTAAATATTGCCTGAATTAAATATCTTTGCTTAAATTTTTCTGTATTTTAACTTGACTAGGGTTTTTTACTTCTTCTATTTTTATATTTTCTCATATTTAAATAAACACATTTATGCACATGTGCCAAGGTGTGCCATTTCTGTACCTCTGGAAGTTAGCTGTGCAGTATAAATACTCACTTTATGTGTTTTGTGCAGTGACAAAAACATATTCTCTAACACTGCTACTTCCTATGTTGATCTTCCCTATTCTTACCAAAACAAATAATTAAGATATTTCAATAAAAGCAAATCAGTACAAAGTAAAATGCATGCCTTAAATAATATGCAGTGAAAAATGTTTGAGCATTTATCCAATTACTGAGCACAATTAAGGTTACCCATTTTAAATTTGATATACACTTGCTTTTGGAGTATGTTACACACTGATGCTAAGTAAATGGACTTAAGTAAAATTAAAAGTATCTCTAGTGTCTTTTATCCTATTAATCTTAATCTAAGTTTGCCTTCTGGAGCAAAAATGTTATTAAATTATAAAACTGCCTGTATATTTCATTAAATAAATAAACATTAAATTCCAGAACATGGCTAAATATTAAATAAGAAAGTCTGTATTAATAAAGCTATATTCCTCAATAAAATTATTAAATAAATTTTCTTATATTATCATTTTCTTGTGTATTGACTCTTGTGAGCATAATCTTTGTTCAAATTATTGTTATTTATAGGTAGAAATCAATTTGTTATTTATAGGTAGAAAAGTTTAGAAAACAGTTTTTATTTTAGAAGAAAAAAAGAACAGTAATTATGGAACCACAACAGATATTCATTAAAAATCATTTCGAGTCAGGTAGTTTTAGTGTGAGAAGATTGTAAATTTAAGGAAAACCTGGGGAGATAAAGAAGAAAAAACAAAAAGAAAAGGAAAAAGTGAAATTCATGACTTAAAAGAGAATATGAGGAAACCCAGATTGGAGTGTTTATTTAAACATTATTACCATGAAGAAAGAACATTTCTTCAAAAATGTTAAGCTTATAGTTTAAATGTTCTTCCTATTAAGAATCATCTTTTTTTAAAAACATGTATCCCAGAGCCACAGTAATTGTACATCAGGGAGGGCATTTGCTGTGCATGCAGCAAACCTAGGTTTGATCCCCAGCATCCCATATGGTCCCCCAAGCACCTCTAGGAGTAATCCTGAGCACAGAGCTATGGAGTAATCCCTGAGCTTTACTGAGTGTGGAGCCCAAGCCAAAATAATAATAAAATAAAGCATGTCATTTCTGTTGCCTTCATATGTGCTATACTTGAAAAGTGTCCCCCTCTTTTCACTCACAAACTTTTCCTTGAAAACATCATAGAGTGCCACTTTGGCCCCAGAAATCAGAACCACCAGCATATTCAGTTTACATTACTGGAAAAGTGACTGGTGGGGGAAAAAAAACTCAGACACTAGTTCTCAGTTTTAAGGATATTTTTTAACCAGTGATATTGCATTGGAAAAGTGTTCAGTATGAACTGAGTTCAACATCGATTTGGGCAAAGTTGACTGGTTGTAAAAGAAGGAGCGATGGAGAAATTCAAAGTTTGAGTTGAGCCGAGTTTTAAAATGCAGGAAGTGGGGTTGAGGGAGGGTTGATGCATGTAAAAGTCACCTGTGTTTACTAACTGGCATTTATCAGTTTAATTCCTTTCCCAGAGACTGGGAGTCAGGAACTATATCTTCAGGTGTTTTCTGGAATAAACAGCAAATTCTTTTGGCAGCATTAAGTTTTTCCAGACAGGAACTGCAGGAGGCTACAATGCTATCCTAAGGATATTGCCTTGAGAATAGAAACTATATTAGTGATGTATTAAGCTCTTTCATGGATGTGTGGGTTGGTGTGGTGGGGATGTTCAGGGGGATGATATCATTTGTATTAATCTCAAATTTTTAAAAGGCCAAGGTTGAAAAGGAGAGGAGCCGGGCTAGAATTTGACCAAGAAAATAATATCCTTTCTCAGTGCCAACTTGAAATGTCGCTATCTTTGCCTTCTCCTCTTCGGGTTTCAAACCACTGCAGGTTAAATATAGAAGCCAAGGCCAGAAAACAGACTCCATATGAGAAAATGTCTGAAGATTGTGTTCCTGTCTTTAGTTTCAAATGTTACATATGAAACGTGAATTATTTGGCACTCATCTAGGCTCCCATGATTCATTTTGCTTATTTGGCCTTCTTAAAATCAGTTCTAGTGTTTTTCAATAGTAGAACTAGAAAAATATCATGTTTGTGCACAAATACACACACAGCCACAAAAAGGCATTCTGAGACTTTCCACTCCAGCATCACTACTGTGCACCTTGGGTTCTTAGAATGTCACAGCCTCCAAGTGTCCCTTGCTGTGGACTATGGTAGCTACTATGGTATCTTTAGGATGTGTAGACCAGACCCTTAGTCTCAAGAGCAATAAAATCTAGTTGGGGTAGAGGGCGAAATATGTACAGATTATGGTAAGATGTGATGATGGAAGTAAGATATGTGTATATACCCCTGTCTGTTACATTGAATTGGTTGACACTAGTTGACATTTGCACATTGGGTAGTTGGTAGTGTGCAGTGATTCATAGACCCCTGAGAAATTCTCAGGAGTCCTCCATTAGTAAAAATCAAAACATAAAAAGCAAATAAAAACAAAAATGAACTAGGCAACTCTGTAAACACAAAAAGACCTATTGCTAATCATTTAAAATCTGGACTGAGAAGAAGATGGACAAAGTCAAAGCAGGTCCCATGAAAGAGAAAATTTCTCAACAGATTTAGCTGAAGTATATTATGGAAGGAAGTTTCCCTGAGAACCAACTGTCTGGAGACAGAAGGTGGGGGTATATGTCCCCTGTTCAGATTCTGCTGGACTAGTTGCTGTAGCCTGCCCAAGTTGCGTACTATAGCAGCCCTGGTCCTGATCCTGGTCCCTGCCAGGTCCTTGCTGCTGTTCTAATGGGGCCAAAGGGGTTACAATGATACTGGCAGGTCAACCTTTACCTGATGGGGGAGTGCATCAGCAGTCTGATAGTGCCATTAGGCTTTCAGATACCTCAAAATCACCCTATTGAAATCTGTGCTTCTGACCAGATTTGAATAACTCAGGACCAGGTTTCCTGAGAAATTAAACTGCCAAAAGTTAGATATATAGCAGCCATGCTCACAAATCACCTCCAGCTCTGCCTTACAAGCTTATTTATTGACTTTGCTTCAGAGAACAATAAAGAAATCTCAAAAGATATCAAAAACTTCAGTTAATCTTAGATCCACGCAAGGCTGTACAGATAGAGTACATAGGAAGGGGAAGGGTTTGCCAGTGCTGGCCCAAGCAGAGTATGCGGCAGCTTTTTACAACCACAATCTAAAATTGTCACTATACCTCTCCTAGATTTCAACTTTTCAGGGTGAACCTCACCAAGATATTAATCTGCTGAAAATTTGGTTATGTGAATTTTGTGACTATAATCTCCAGGTTCTATTGGGGTTGGGATAGGCTACCTCCCCTCACCTCCCTGTACTTCTGGAATCCTTGGAAGTCATGTCCACCACCCAAAACCACCACTCAGTTGCAAAGCATAATGCACACAAGTAGGGAGTTGGGGAGAATAGAGAGAGAGACTCCAGGAAGAAAGGTGCCTGTCACAGAGGCAGACAGGCAGTTGTGTGTGTTGTAGACAGGGGAGTGGGGAACTGGAGACATTAGTGATAGGAAATGTACAGAGATGGAAGCATGGCTATTAGATCATTGTATGACTGAAACCAAATCATGAACAGCTTTGTGATTGTTTATCTCATGGTGATTTAATATTTAAAAATAAAGATATTTCACAATGAACTCAAACAATAAATACATAAAAGGTGCCTTGTTTTATAATCTCCTAAAAGTATAAGCATATTTGCTTTCACAATGAAACACAAATTTCTATGCCTCAATCTAAGGTACATATAATGAGATCTTGATTAAACTTGAAGGATTTTCCCCCCATGTAGCACTGCACTGTAGCACTGTCCTCTCGTTGTTCATTGATTTGCGCGCGCGGGCCCAGTAATGTCTCCATTTTGAGACTTGTTGTTACTCTGTTTGGCATATTGAATACATCACGGGTAGCTTGCCAGGCTTTGCCGTGCCGGCGAGATACTCTCAGTAGCTTGCCGGGCTCTCCAGGAGGGGCAGAGGAATCGAACCCAGCTCGGCTGGGCCAGCTGCGTGCGAGGCAACCGCTCTACTGCTGTGCTATTGCTCCAGCACTACCCCCATGTACATTCTCATTTTCTTTGTTTTGAAATATTTTCAAAAATATACTAATAAATTCCTAGAAACTCAATAATGTTTGAACCCAGTACTAAGGTAGTAGGTCTTAACTAGCCTCCAATCATATGTCTGCAGAATAAAAATGCCCCTTAAGACACAGAATCAATGTTTATGCTGGGAGCTACAAATGTATGTTAGTTGTGAGCTCTTTAGGCGGGGGTGGAGGGTGGGGGGTGGGGAGGGAGCTCTTCATTTTAAAAAACATAGATTAGTATTGACCACAGTGAAGCATGGAAATCACATAACCTCAAGGCCATTCATCTCTCTTGCCATTAGCTCAGCAGTTTCTGAAAGAAAGTTGCTACATGACTGCTGTGTTTTTTAGATAACAGACTATATTACTATTGTTTACATGTAGCACTCAGGCACGTTTTCAGTGATTGGAACAGTGAGAAGGGCTGTCAGAAAACAGGCCATCTCCTACTCAAATCAATTCATGCTGGATTTCCATATAGGATGTAAGCTTAAAGGGGTAAGAGAGAAGAGAAGCTACCACAGACATTAAAGAAAAAAAAATC